CGTGCGAAAGTACGTTTTTAGTTGTTTTAATTTTTTTTTGATCATTTTAATTTTCTGTTTAAATTAAAAATATCGAATAGTGTTTAACTGAAATTTAAATAAAACAATTGTTAAATATATGTATTAATAAATAAAGATTAAAAGAAATAGAGTTGCAAAAAAAAAGCGCAACAAGGCGAAAGACAAACACAAAACGAAGACAGCAACACCGCCTTTTTATTATAACGAGAACGTCGCGGCTTATTGTCAGCTTCGCTACCATCGGAATTTTCGTAATTCGGCATTTGATTTTTAAAATTTTTTTATAAAATTCCCACCTCATTGGTAAGTATTTAATTAGTTTAACTTTATATTGAGACTTGTGAAAAATAAATAAAATTACTGTATTAAATTATAATTGCCGGTTATTGTGTGTATTAAATGTGTGAGTCATTAAAATTGTCTTTGTTGTCGCCGGTGTGTTCCTTGACTTCAAAGAAATGTGATAGCAATAATTTAAGACACAACTCTTAATTAAAAACCAACAAAAAAAGAAAAAATTTATAAGATATGTGATCAATAAAATTATATATTAAACTTAATTATATATAAAATAAGGACTACAATTTTATTAATATAGTTGCTTTCTAGAGAGTGAAAGTAGTTTGCATATTAATTTATTTTTTTTGTTTTTTTGTTAATAATTTTAACCAATTTAACCACTGATTTATTATAAAAATTATTGTGCTTAAATATCATTAAAATTTTATTATTTTTATAATACTCTTCAATATAATTTATATCATTCATTTTATCAACGTGGTTGCTTGTGCTATAAAATTTTTCTTTACTTTTTGCTAATTTATAAGAAACAACAATAAAAACGCTGCTGAAACGGTTAACAGCTTTGCATTGACATCATATTTATTATATTTTACACCGTAGCTCTTTAAATGAAGTTTTTTTTCATACTATCAACAATAATTCACGCTTGCATCAATATGTGGGAATTATTCTTATGAGAATGTCATAATTCCTCTGGTTCTATTGCAATGGAAATTGTTCGTAATGCTCCAAATGTTATACCGCCTTTAACATTTTTTTTTCGCTATTGAAGTTCAATTTTTTATAGTGTATAGAGTACTGTACTATGTAGAACAGTTTAAGGGTGTGGAGAATAGTAATATTTAAAAAATGAATTAAATAATTTTTTTTTTTAAATTTAACTCTATATTCTCAATATATTTACCTAAATAATTAAATCAATAATTGAAAACGTATTAAATGCCATACTATTACGAAATAAGCCCCTACGTTTCATTCTCGCCAGCAGTTAATGCTTATTTTATACCATTATTATTATTATTAGGGGATCTGGCACTGGGACCGTCGGGTCTATTGTACTCCCTTCTGGGTTTAGAATAGGTTTCTAAGCCCTGTTGCGTTAATAAAAAAATAGTATAGAACCTACTTTTATTGCCTCTTTCTTAAGAATATACATTCGCAGGAGCCTATTTCGTATGTGCATTACCGCAGGGCAATCTAATATTTTATACCATGTTTACATTACGAACTTTGCTGGTGGAAATCGACTTTGAGCTCAAAACCAATTACCAAAGCTTACTTTTTCATATAAAAATAGACACCACAAAGTTCAACTCTCATTGGAAGTTAACTTCATGTTATAATTTTCTTGAATACAGCACAGAAAATAATTAAATAAGGATAAATTTCTAAATTCTATTTAATCGAAAGTTTTTAAAAATTCTGAATTATGAATTATCGTTCAGTTCGATTTTGATTTTTTTTAAAAATAATTTACTTTTAAGTAAATTTGATTTTAAGTACAGTTCGATTTTGATTTTTTTAAAAAATAATTTACTTTTAAGAATTATTTATAAATAATAACTCAGATTTCCATAATAACGTTTCTAATTTCATGGTAGAAAATATATTAAAAAATCAACAACTGTCAAAATGAAAACCTGAAACGAAAATGTAAACACATGACGTTTGGGAACTAACTTTAGTAAAGTTCGTTAAGGGCCATGTTATGTAACATAGAGTGTTATGAGCTCGTCAAAATTGTTTATTTAGGCTTTGACGAAAGTGCATGTTATATGACAGAAATGACACAAATGTTGACATTTATTACTGAATAACACTGCTTTGCCTAAGTGACGAGACACATATATCCTCGGCACTCATGACCAAATCTGAACCGACATATTGTTTTTTCTCTGACTCTCAATTTTAAAATTGTGACGAGGTATAGCTAACCTCGGCACACATAACCAAATTTAAACCGACATATTGTTTTTTCTCTCACTCTCAATTTTATAAATGGCATTGAAAACAAAAACAATTTTGCTCATGATGAGCTCATGATACTCTACATAACAAGGCCCCAACTAAAGTTCGTCATGTAAATATATCATTAGCTTATACATATACGGTAAATCAATTAAAGATCTACATATTTACCTAAATAATTAAGTCAAAGATTGAAAATGTTACAGTGCATGAAATATCATTTTAAATGATTTCAATTACGATAAAAACCTATACTCATGTTGGTTTATATATTCCAATTTTAAGACTATTATTCAACGAAAAAGGAATGGTCTAATTGATCATATATTGTAATCAAAACACAATTGTTTTTAAAGGATTTTCTATCAAAATTAACGATTATAGTTGAAGTATCGGAAAATAATTTAAAAAAAAACATTTAAAAAAATCTAAATTGTGTTTTCAGAGATCCATAACTAATAACACATTTCGTAATTAATATATAATGTTTGGTCATAAAAAAAAAATAAAGTTAAAATTATATAAATTGAAGAGATCTTCATTTAAAATATCGTATGAAGTTAAAAGAATTATATTATAAAATTGTTTTATTTTATTTGATTTTAATTTTGCTATAAAACATTTTACTATAAAATATTGCACTATAAAACATTGTACTATAAAACATTATACTATAAAACATATATATAAATGTTTCAAAATAGTTACTAGAATGTAATATTTGTTTAAACGAAATTTCGAAAATATAACTGTCTCTTTCTACACATTTCATTATTTTAAGATGACAGTTTAAAATAACCAGTAATGTAATGTAAATATAATAATAAATTAATTTATATTTTAATCATCTCAACCTTCCATAGTGTTCCTTTTTATGTTCATGATAATTTTCATTTATAGTCATATTATAAAATTTGATGTCACATATTAATATATAATATTTTCTATTTAATAAGCATAAATTGCTATAAAAATGCAATTTTTCAAAACTGATATTTAGGTTTATTTTTAATCCCAACTCTCATGGAAGATATTTTTTTCTGTTATATCTTAAATTATTTGTTTTTGTGGAATCTTTAAACTGGTTCCTTCCCATCTTACTTTGATTTTGATTTCGTTTTTATTAAGAAATTTTTAAGTTATTTGAAGAGCGCAGAATCGCAGGTAAATATTAGCATTCTTAGAAACGTTTTTGTTTAAATCTTTTTTTTTTTATATTTTTACTTATAGATTTAAATTGAATATTGACGTCATTCTCTGTTATTTTTTGTAAAAACACTTTAGTCGATATTTAGACAAATGATAATTATAACTTTTTAATCCCACCTGTTGGATCTCTATTTGATTCTCAATATGCAATTCTATTTATTACTCACCACCTCTGTTTTTATCTCTCTTCTGTAATGAGTAATACGAATATATGAAAAAAAAAAATTTCAAGTGCATTTCAAATTAATTTTAGCTGCAGTTGTTCAATTATTCGGTATTGAGTGAATTTTTGGGGCGCTATATTTTAATTTCTTTCAAAATTATTAGTTATAAAAATTTAAAATCATTAAAAATATTTTAGGTGTTATAGTATGCAAAGACATTTTGCATTGGAAGAGCAAAGTCTCGGTTATGTAATGAAAACATGCCGACATTGGTTCAGAACTTTAACTAAATTTTTTAAATGAAAACTGCAGTAAGGTTCTATTTTTTGCTTATTAGAACAAATATATATTTTCGGATTTTTAAAATAGCGGTTGCCAAAATCGAAACTTTTAAATTTTTTTCAGAATGGTTTAAATAGCAGAAGGTAAACTGCATTAAAAAATTTTTTTAGTGTATTTACGACCCCTAGCAACCCAAAAACTGAATACATACTTATTTCAAATCGCATATATCTTAATGTCTCGCTTCTGTTAGCTTTCGTTAGTTGCTGCCCAGGTGACGACAGATTTATATTAGAAATTTAATGATAGTGCCATGTCTATATTTACAAACGGTTAAAATTTTGATGTTCTCTAAGAAAACACTATAAATATTTTGTTAGTAGCTTTTAAAAATAGTTAGCTAGCATCTTCTTTTTTCCGTGATCTTAGTGCTGTTACTTGGCAGTTTGACAATTGTTTTTAATGTATATTTTAAAGCTGAAATAGAAATAGTAAGCCGCGATTTAAGTGCGGTTACATAGAAGTTTGAATTTAAGAAAATTTTTTACTTGAGAAAATTATTTATTTAGAAAAATGTTTTATAATTTTATGTGTTAAATAAAGGTCGTAAGTCTGGTAATAGTCAAAAAACTTAATACAAGATATGTTATATTTATTTGAGTTAGCTATTATTATACTAAGGGCATTTTTAATGTTTAGCTTAATTACTATAGTAAGGCCGTGTGCGAGTTCGAGTAATTGATGGTAAATTGAGGGAAATAGTAAATTATATCGCTATGGCAGCGAATGCTGGTATTTACCAGAATTTCGAATGGGGTAAATTAGATAAAAATTAGGTAAATTAGTTGTTATCATTATGAAAATTTTATTACATGTTTAATAAATAAATAAATAAAATTGAAAACTTTTAACCAAAAATAATAAGTGCAATAAATAGATAAATAAATATTTACATAAGTGCAGAGCCAAGAATCGCTAGGATATATTAATTTAAATCACGGACTAAATGATGTAGCTAATTTTTCATTTTTCTATATGTTAGACAAATATTTTTTTTCTCCATCCATATTTGTAGTTTTTTATTAAATAAATTTTATTTACTATTTATTCCATTTGAATTAAATTTGCTATTTATATATCGATATATATTTGAATCACATTTTTCTTAAAAGTTATATAAATTAAGTTATATATATTAAGTTATATATATTGAGTCATATATATTAAGTTATATGTATTAAGTTATATATATTGAGTTATATATATTAAGCCGCAGGTCTTAGATCAATCACTGAATAATAATGAAGCTTATAGTAATACATAAATTACTCAATGAG